TCTCCTTGATCGGGATATCCTTCTTAAGCGCGTACTTAGCGGCGACGGGGCCCTGCAGAATGCAGACACGCTGAGGGTCCTGGTCAAAGACGCCTTCGATATCCTCAGCCTGCCAGAGTGAGTCCTGAAGAACATGTAAGCATACAATACGTAGGCAACGGAGCTCATCGATGCATACCTTCTTGAACCAGACCTCGAATGTGGAGTCCAAAACGGGGATGAACGGCACAGGCTTCTGGCCGGGGCGCTGCGAGACCGCGAGGAAGTAAGCGCGGTCCTCGCTCGCAAGCAGCTGCTCAGTAGCAAGCGGGTATGCCTTGAAGAACTCCTCGACGAACGCGTGGGGTTTGTCAAGCTGCTGGTAGCTCTGCAGCAGCGACGCCTTGGCCGCACCAGCGAAGCGCTCCTCGACGCGGCGAAGCCAATCGCCCGTGAGGTTGCGAAGCGAGACATCGACCCAGCGCTCCTCGTGCGCGACATACATGAGGCGGACGAGACGGAGAACGGTTTCCTCGTAAGTCATGTCGCCGAGATCCTCGGCAACCGAGCTAGGAAATATCATGAGGAAGTAGACTATAAGTGATGAACAGGGAGGACGCACCCATCCTTCTTCGCACCGAACCAAGGCTTCTGGAAGTCCTTGTTCAACTTGCCGATAATCTCTCCCCTCCTCTCCTTCAACCACGGTTCCCTCTTCTCCCTCGGCATCTTGAACACCGTGTCGTCGAACTCCTTCCACAACTTGACGGCGCGAGTGGCGACTTTGTGGATAGGCTCGCCGAGCTCACTCCTAACCGTCAGAATCCCACCCGTCTCCTTCGCGTAAGTCCCCTCCCATTGCGCATCGTCGACACCAGACGCTGCCACGATCAAGTCCTTGACGCTCGCGCTCGTGTGCGCCTCCTTAGCAATCATGGCCCACGAGCCGAAGAGGAAGCCGTCGAACGGCATCGGCTGAAGACCGTAAGCGGCGCTCCACTCGCCGGAGAGGTACGGCCAGAGCTGCTCGCCGGCGCCGAACCCAGAGCCACCGACGAGGACGATGTTCTCGTGCGCGCGAATACGTGCGTAGGTCTGCACGATCGGCTGGTGGAAGTCCTCGTAGCTGTGGTGACCACCGGCGCGACCGCCCGTCCACTGCATGATGATCGGGAAGTCCGGGTTCGCTGCAGCGATGTTAACGACCTGGCGGATACCCTCGACCGAGCCGGGCTTGAACGCGACGTGACGGATGCCGGCGCTCTTGAGACCCTCGATGATCTCGACTGCCTTCTCGGTAGTAGGGATACCAGCAGCGACACAGAAGCCCTCGATCGGCAATCCTTCCTTGCGCATCTCCTGCCAGAGCGGGAACTGGAAGCCGAACTGGCGCGGGTTGATGTACAGCGCGTTGAGGGTAATGCCAACACCGGCCGGGATCTTGCTCTGAATTTCGGCAACCTTCGCGCGGAGTGCAGCGGGGGAGTAGTGGCCACCGCCCGCGAGCTCGACGTGGTAACCAGCGCTGAGGACTGAGGAGACAAAGCCGGCCTTGACGGTTGTCGGCGTCATGCCTGCGACCATAACTGGGGGCTTGCCGAGGAGGCGCGTGTAAGGAGTGTCGAGATGAAGCTTACCATCGCTATGCAGTATATTAGCCTCGTATTCCATGCAAGACAGATGATCAATACGAACCTCGTCTTAACGAGCTTAGGCGACCACTTCTTGGCCCACGACTGCGCAAACTGTACGTCCTTGATCGAGTAGAATTCCGCATCTCCTTTGCCCTTCTCGCCGAGCACGATTGTACGGACGCCGCGGCCATCCAAGTTGCGGGAGGTAAGCGGACCGATGCCGTTCAAGCCACCAGCGCCGAAGTCGACCGCATGAGTTGCGCTAGCAGGGAAGTCCGTAGCCGCAGTCCAGTGGATGTGGCGCGTGAAGACTTGCTCGGTGATCGAGCGCGTAAGCGAACCAGACGCCTTGCGGAGGTCAGAGCCTGTGAAGTGTGTTAGATAAGATAAGATGGGATCAAGATCTTCAGCGCTTACCGTCTTCGGTGTTGTAGACCGTGGTCTGGAGCGCACTGGCCTCGAAGAGTTCCTCGCCCTTGAGATCCTCTTGCAGCAACTCATCGACGCCGTCCTTGAGGTACTGCGAGTGGTAGGGTACACTGACGACCAGGAAGCGGAGGAAGACGACTGGCTTGCGCTGGGAGAAGGGAACCTTGTTCTGCTCCGCCCCGCTTGCAGCCATGATCTTGCGCAAGCTCGCAACAAGACCGTACAGAGACCTCGGCGGGCCAGTGACAACAAACGCCTTGGGGCCGTTATGCAGCGAGACCTCGAGCTGCGAGTTGGCGGGGAGGTGCTTGTTGGTTTTGGCGACATGGGGTTCCAGCTCCTTGAGCGTCAAACCGACGACGGTAAGCATGGGCGACGGGGTACCGAAGCCGGCCTCCACGGACTCCTGTATCATGCTCGGCTCGAGCGCGAGGACAGGGAAGTGCTGCTGTCCGCGGTAACCGGCGAAGAAGAGCCAAGTTAGCGCCTTGAGTGCGTTGCGTTCGAAAGAAGCGTCGTCCGTGGATGCTGCGATCGCTGCGGCCGTTGCAAGACCTTGCGAGTGACCAGACATGCCAGAGAAGTGGGAACGCAGTTCACCGGGTCCAAGACCGGCGGCGCGTGCTGCAACGAGATACTGTACGAGCTGCGTCAAGCCGATTAAGGGGAACGAGACCGGGATTGATGCGAAGTAAGAGGTTGGCGGACGCGGGGCCGCACCAGTGAGCCATGCGAGAACGTCGAGACCGTTGGCGTAGTATGGGGATTCCGAGTGCTGCGCTGCGAGTGGCGCGAGGACAGAAGAAGTCGCCTTCTGTAGGAACGGCTCGACGAAAGGCCTGTAGACCTCGAAAAGCGCCTGAAGTTCGTCGAAATAGACCTCGTTGGGGCCCTGGCCGCCGAAAAGCGCGTAGACCTCCGTCTTGCCCGCAGAGAAGAGTGCGGGCGCAGCAATCTCCGGGACATGCTCGCCAGCGCTTTGCAGCGCGGCATAGGCAGCAAAGTAGGATGTGAGCACGGCCACGCGAGCATCCGAGTCGTAGCGTGCAACGAGCGAGTGCACGTCGGTGGAGGAGAGGTAAGAGCGTGCGAAGAAGGCGAGTGCCTTGGAGAGCACGGCGAGCCGCGCCTTGCGTCCTGCACCCTCGGATGCGGCAGAGACGGCGTCTACGGTGAAACCCAAAAAGCGCGCGAGCAGGTGCACGTCTTGTTGCGTCTTGTCCTCCAGCTCGGCCGCGTTCTGCGCCTCGTCGAGGATCGACTGCGAGTGCACAAAATCGTCGCGGAGTACTTCTGCGGCGAGCCACGCGTCGGGCTCGGTAGATACGGGAACGCAGAGCTATGACCATATAATCAGTATTTGTTCGAATCTAACCATTGATCGTAATATAATACCCTGGATTGGCCGACATGTATGACGAGGGGACGCTCGTCAATGGCGCGCACGGCGTCGCCGTTCAAGTTAGCGGGGGATGCGGACATTATTTTCGTTGGGATAGTCCGGCAGTCTATGGAGGAGGAATGTGATGGTGGGAGGAGCCAAGCAGCTAGCTAACCGGCCAGCAGCCGAACGCGCATTTGGTTTTGAGCTGCAAGCCCCAACGACAAGCGAAACCCCACCAAGACGCGCGTTAGACACGCCTTCAGACAACAAATCCCGCAACAGATCCAACTTCGGCGCCCCGCGCGTACGACATTTCTCTTCACATACTTTGGGGCTCATTGTGTAACTCTTCCGGCGTATGCCACAGATGCCCGATGCTCAAGTTTTTCACTCTCAAGCGCCGGGCGGTCAAGTCAGCTGCGCCTTCTGCTCGACGCGTCGACGCGCGCCAAACGCGCTACACGCGACTCGACGCGTGGCGCGTGCCTTGATCTCTGCTTTCCCCAACCTCGGCCTCGATCTCGCAGAGCTTAAGCTGCGCGTCTCTCAACTTGTACTCTATGTGGGCAACGAGCAACAGAGTTGTATGCGCCTCTTATAGGCTAGTATCCAGATGCTCTGTACTTCGCCTTATCTCGATCAATGCATGCCAGACGCCATGCTTTTGCCTCGCATCCATAGATCAGCGAATCCGAAGACGTCCGCGACATCGTGTCTACAGCGCGTCTCCCAATCTCTGCACGGGCAATCTGTAATCTTCTCGAGCTCGCCATCTCCCCTCCGAGCCTCTCCCGACCCTGCTCGAATCAGCCCCATCGCGACCTTCGACTGTCAACTGGGGCAATTCGCATCTCGGCCGCCGCATTGACACCCGGGACTTACCGCCTTTTAGCCCGCGTTTCCCAGTCGCATCCGAAGACTGAGTGCGGTGCCGATGTCGTAGACTAGTACTGGAGGTCCTGCTCACTACTGTCATTGTATGCCCACTAGAAGAGAAGAGAAGAGCTGCCACATAGACTCGCGGGACGAGTCCTACTCATGCTGTCACCGTGGACTTCACCGCTCGGGGGCCGGCCGGTACTTCGCGAAAAACAGACGTAGCGTGTACAGGTCTACCCTTCCGAAACATGCGCATGAGGCGTGGCATCGATGCTAGCCGGAATCCGCGAACCTGATTATCCGTACGTATACGCGTGGACGAAGGGAGGACGAACGAGCGGTGATCAGAGTTAGAGCCGTGGGAACGGGCCACCGCCACGAGGCTCACAGAAGGTGTGGCGCGCTGCGCGATCGCACTGCTCGTTTCAGCAAGCCCCTCCAGGGAGTTCCCTTGCACTCATTATACACGATACACGCAATGAAGAGTGTCACATTGTGCTTCATGCTCCACATCCATAATGAAAGTGTGAAGTTGGCCCGTCAGCCCCAGGCCTGGCACGGCTGGCCGATGTAGATATGCGCTCTCGACGGCGATTCCCTAGCAAGTTGTCACTTCATTCAACGCGGTACATATGATGAAACATGACTACGACATGTGATATGCAGTCGGTATACTAGTGTCATATGCAACAATTTCATGGATACAGTTCCGCAAACTTATCGGTTGCCTGTATGGATAGCTTCAGCTTATGTCAGACCCCGGTATCACCCCTGCTTACCTGCACGAGCAACTTCTGAGTCCCAGGCTCAGTTGAAGAATGGCCAGAGTCCGGCACGATATGGAACTCGGCTTCCTCCCACACCTTGTGCAGTGTCCAAGCTGTAGTAGCCGGACACACCACATCATATCTTCCCTGCACAATGACGCATGGGATGTGCCGTATCTTGTCAACCTCTTGCCGCTCGAGCAGCTGCCCGTCGCGCATGAAGCCTGTGTTGACGAAGTAGTGGTTCTCGATCCGCGCAAATGCGTTACTGTACTCGTCCTTCTCCGCCTTCGCCAGGTTCTCGGGGTCGACGTACAGCTTAGAGGTCGCCATCCTGCATGAGCAGGGTCAGTGCTGGCTCAAGGTGATGAAGATAGGCAGCGTGCATACTCCCACTTCGTCCAGGCGCGAGCGGCTCTCATCCGGATCTCGTCGTCGATCGAGTTCAACTGAGCGTGATAAGCCAGGATGATATCGCCGCGCTCCTCCTCCGGGATCGGTGCAATGTATTCGTCCCTGTGAAAGACAAAGATGCTGAGCGACCATACCTACTACATTCAACGACTCCTTACCAGGCATCAGGGAAGAGGTGCGAGGCGCCTTCCTGGTAGAACCACCGAAGCTCGCTGTGGCGATCGGCTCAGACTCTGGTAAATGGGGCCACATCGGCAAAACGGTGCCACACCTCTGGCGTAGTGTGAAGATCCCGCTAGGTACGTATGAGCTCTACGAGGTCTATCGCAGCTCTGCAAAAACGGAACTCACCGAAGAACCAGCGTCTTGACGCGATCCGGGTGCGTCTAGGAGTGCAACATGAGGCAGCAGTCCTAAAGATATGATCTGGATACCAACCTGAGCGTATGCCAGAGATAGCGTCGAGCCCTATCATACCGTTAGTGGCTGAGCATCTGTATACGCATATGCATACCCAAGAACCACCAAAAACGTGCCACTTCTCGATGCCTAGATGCTCGCGCAGACGCTCGACATCTTTCACGAGATCCCACGTCGTATTCTCTTCCAGGCATGCGCTCCTGCGCATCGTGAGTACATGACTGAAAATATCAGAGAGAGCCGATTCGCGTACGGAGTGGATTTGCCAGCGCCGCGCTGGTCAAGCATGATCACCTATATGCAGGGCGGTCCACATTCAACCGCAGTCCACACAAGCGACAGACCAACGCACCTGGTACTTTGAGTGGTCGAAGAAGCCACGATCTCTACCGTCACAGCCAGATCCGGGTCCACCTATAAGAGTACATCCCTACGAATCAAGCCATGATGGAGGCCTGGAAGCTAAGACAGTCCGCACCATGCAGGAAGATCACTACAAGGCATCAATACTGGTTGTCTGAGTCCTTAAACGGCGAACCTACCTGGTGTACCCTCTTTGCTCCCCGATATCTCGTAGCTAGATACGATCTCAGAGCTGAGCGCATGCGTAGCATAGTCTTTGGCACGCACTGGAGCGTGTGTATATCGGACACCTTCAGCTTTCCGGCCGTGAAGGGTTGCTGGTGATCGTACATGGCGCGTAAACTTGAGCCTCGAGTGAAGCAGCGAGCAGGTGAGATGCGTCGTGATGGGAGTATACTAGAAACTCGAGTAGATACGCGCTGCCTTAAGGCGGCGCGAAGAGTGGAGGTGGCCAGCTGAGTTCGCATCAGGCGGAGTGCCGCGGCTTCGAGACCGTCGCTCTGCTCTCGACCATCATCATTGTTCACAGGGTGTGTGGTGGCCGACCGTGGACTCGATCTCCATACCGCAGCACGCTCTACTTTGAACATGCTCTTGCATGTCATGACCTGAGTGACTTGTCTGACCCGTTCGTCTCGTGTAGAGTACATTCTGTATAAGACTGAGCCCAATGCCAGTCCCTGAACGCGATCTTCAACTGCCCATATAGATAAGATCATCTGTCTTATCTCAGACGTAAACGCTTCTCCGCCGCAGGATAGAGTGATCTGTACTGACGGTTTTCCGAGCGGACCTGAGTGTTCTCGCATGATGCTCGGGGCCTGTCGCATTACATGCTTCGGCAGGGATCGGCTGTTAATTCTCCGCTGGGTGCACCTCTGGATGTCTGAAACGACCTAAAGGCGGCCATTACGTGCTATGTTTGGCCATACCACTCGCTACTGGACCTGCATTGCACTCAAGTTTGAACGCTTGGGCCTGCATCACAGAGCGCTGCTCATCGCGACGTGACATTGAACTCATGAATTGTATTGATTAAGCAGAGCCAGTCTAAGCGGACCTCAGGTAGATGTAGCGTAAATCCAGCAAACGGGATCGTGAAAGCAAAATAGCGAAGCAACTGGTATCTTGGAAGTCGCGATTATGCAGACCCGGCTGCCTCGGGAATAGCAGGAGCGACAGACTGTGGAATGGTTGCCTCCTCCGCGATGGTCTCGGCCACAGTCGGGTTCATTGTAACGTCGACATCCCCAGTTGGCGTGGGGGTGGGTATAACAGCATCAGCGGTCACGGACGCCGGCACCTCGACGGTCGTTTTGGCGGGCGCAATAGGCGGCGATGCCTGCTTGATATCCCACTCCGACAGCCCGACTCGTCCACCGAGCTCACGCCAACGCTTAAGTTGCACCTCGCGGAGCTCCGCACACATTTGCAAGAGTGCCGACCAATACTTGTCGTGATCCCACTGGAAGTCGACTCCGCCTTTCCACCCTCCGTCAGCGAAGAGCTGATCGGCCGTAAATAGCCCTTCTTCTACAGGCTTCGGGTTGAACTTCATCTTTTCGCGTGTGCGTGGGTCGATGAGCGGTGTGATGAGTTTGAAGAAGGCATTCAAGAGCCAAGGAACGTTGAGAATCATCGCACGACCGAGACGTTCTAGTTCACGCTGCCATTAGTACCCCGCAAACACGAGGACAGCGGAAAGAACGGACGTACCGGGGTAGTGCGTCTGCAGGATGTTCAAGACAGTCTTCGCTGTACCGAATGAAGGGTTCTTTGCCCGGTCGGCAAAATTGATCATGAGCGAAAGAGTCTCCACGCCTGGCCCTGCAAGGTCGAGCGTGCGCTCGAGCATCCAGACTACGAATTCGATCTGTCTATGAGACTCCTCCGTGTTCTGGCGGCTGGGAATGAGGTAGAGAGCTGGGCGGCGGTCTGCGTCATAACCGTAGATGATCTCCTTGCCCGTGACAGACTAGCAGGTGTGCTGAGTATAAGCAGCACACGAGATAATCAAACCACCGCAGCGCACCTCGATCTTGAGCTCGTCGGCCGATAGGTCCCATACACCAAACTCGCGCCTCCATTTCAGTGTACCCTCAACTCGGTCGATGGCATCCTTGGCAGAGCTCCATTTGATGGCACGTAGAAATCTGAGAAACTAGTTCAGTTTCCTCTCAAGCTCGAGTATAGGTGGTGCGAACCTTTGCAGGCATTCTCGTGTCTACTCGCGGCTCGTCAGTGCCACAGCTCTCGCACAGACAGACAGTCACGCACCAGCCAGAATTTCTCAATCTCAGTGAGCTCTGAGCCTTTCTCTCCGGGGACCTTGTAGTCTTCACTGCCAAAGTGTTCAAGTAGAGCATTGAGCATAGTCTCTTGTTTTGGAGATAGGTCCTCCGCGGGACGCTCCACTCCTGCTGGCAGCGGCGGCGGCGGCGCTGGCGTATATATTGCCACCTTTTCGGATTTGGATGTCATCACGACGGGTAGTTTTTTGGAAGGCCGGAAGGTGATGGTACGATATCAACGAGCACGGACGCGCCGCAACGCGTCGAACGCGTCCGTCATGGCCGCTGATGGTACGGGCCGGTGCCTCCGCTGTTTGCATCAGTTTTGATCTAGCGCGCATATATAAGCCTGCGGTCACGCTTTAGTTCAACTTTCGACGCTTGCTTCCCCACCCCCAGCATCGTCCAGTCGAGCTGTCCGCCTTCCCGGCGAGCCGACCAAATATTGAGCGAGACAAAGCTCGGACATACCAGTCCATCCCTGCCACGGGACACGCGAGAACCATCGCTACGCAGTTTACTGTGACCCCCCTCCGAACAACGATATCTTGTACATCCAACCCTACCTAGTTATCTTGATGTCCAATCAATCGTTGTTCAATGAAAATTCCATGCGCATGCGCGGGGACATGGACGTCCCCGAGCGTTTGCTGCAATCGAACCGTCTACAGACCGATGAAGGTGTCCGACTCGCGCTGAGCGAGCTGGGCGCCTTCATTAAGGGCGGCGGCGCCGTGGAACGATTCCTTGACGCCGCTGTCAGTGTGTGCAATTCTCTTCCGTTCGTCATATCAGGTAAGCGTTTTCCTTCATCTGGTTACAGTATGTATGTCTCGTCTGTGGATTCCCTTTCTGTATTTTAGTAGCTTCGTAAGTATGTAGGTAGGTCCACGTCGGAGAGCCCGGCGTCTGGGTTAAGGTACGTCGTTATTCCCGCTGAGACTCACTGGAGCTGACTCACTTCTACCGGATAGGTTTCATTATTGTGCTTAGCTCCTCTCTCTGTCGCATACATGGGACTGACTGGTCCCTCGTGTTTCTAGTCGCCTCCAGCGAATGCATCGACACGGTCGCTCCAGCCATCCTTGGCCTCTTCCCAATCTCCGCCCCTGCCTGGTCCGAAACATTGCTCGGATGGCGTATCTTCCTAGAGCTCTTCCGCACCGCCTATTTCCTCCCGGTACCCAGATCCGACAAGCACGAAGTCATCTTTCGCGAGATGAACGTTTTGGTCGCCAACGTACCACCGGTGCTGACTTTGCTACCACGACTCGACTGGTCCGACGACATCAGCACTTTGTCGTCGAGTCTTAGCGGCTCAGACGCTACACCTGAGCCGTGGCAATTGAACTTCGGTTCCCCGCCGAGACTCACGAAAGGCCAACGCAAGCAAGCGAAGAAATGGGCACAAGTTGAGCGCCGAGCCGAACAGCAACTAGACAAGTTCGAGGAGGCCCTTGCCGCACTCGGGCATGATTTGCCCGTATCGCAAGAGGAAGCGGATGTGCTAGCAGCAATGCTGCTTTTCAAGTGCAGGAACGAGCTCAGGGTCAGTGCAACTCGCCAGTCTTACCGGAGTGGCACTAACACGCAGCCTACGCAGAAACTGATTCAATACTTTCGGCGCAAGGACGGAGTACTACGGGAAGCGGTGAAGCGGGCATATGTGCCCGTGGCTGAGAACGACTCGACGACGGAACCTGCACAGGTTGCACACACTTCTGTAGTGGGTCGAGTCTTCCGTGCCCATTGAGTGTCGCACTCAATGTCGATGAGCAGGAGCCGATTGGGAGTTTGCAAGGGGGGAGCGATGATGACTCGTGTGCGAGTGCCCGACAGTTCTCGCAAGAGGGCTTCGGACCCTGGGCTGTGTACTTGTCCCCAGGCGCTCAAGGCGATATCCGCATGGCGGAGCGCCGTGACGCCAAGATGCACACTATCTTCGTCAAGAAGTTGATGTGAGCGCCGCTCCCTGAACTCAGGCCCTCATGTTCGCTGAACCTCAGGAAGGGAACTGTCCAAGGGGTTCTTCTCCTCCGACAATCAAAAGCACTTCACGGATCGCAATACAGCCGTTCCCGTCTTTGAGGCGAAGATGACACGCGATACGAGGCTGATAGTGGGTCGCTGCACTCTCATCGAGCATGGACACACGAGCTGACGGGACTTGAATAGTACCAAGTCGATATCATGCCAGACTTTGAACGCCGAGTGCTGCGTCAAGGTGCGTCTTTATGGTGCAGTTGGCCAAACAACCTGCTCACCAGGAAACAGCGATCTATGTCTTCACCATACGCAACCACCGTCAGATTGATAAGCGGCTGTGGACATCTGTATCACATCATTGGACGACAGCAATGGCACGCTTTGGAGACTCAAAGTGGGAGCTGATGACGCCCCAGTCTCGGGCATATGTCAAGCGCTGCACTTATCGTGCACCAGAAGAAACGACAGGAGATGTTGTGATTCGCCCTGGCGAATGGCCAATGGCTTTGAACGTGGAGGATACGAGTCATCATGCAAGTTCAGCTCTGGTGAGCATCGCGCGACGCTCCTTTCCCAGACGCCTGCTGAGACCGGCCTAGCGGGATGAGGTTTGCATAGCTGAGGCCCATCCGACGACATCACGCCTGAGATCTACGCCGGAAAGGCGGACGAAAGAGAGGCGCTCTCATGTGTCTGCATGATGTGGGTGAACGAGAGTGGCGTTGATGGATGGCTATGGATATGGACCTGAGAACTCGCTTGTTATACTGACATCTGGACTGTGATGTATCTGTATACATATGTGCCCCTGCCACTTTGGAGTCATCAGTCTTCGATGGCGCGGTTATGGTTCACTCCCACTGAGATTTGGCGATACGCTGCGCTACGCAGTATGAAGCACTGACCCCAACCCCAGTGTTGGCACCGTCACTCTCTCTTCGACACTCGAGGTGAAACTCATTGTATCGCTTCATTTTGGCATGATGTCATCTCCACGTAGCAATACGCTGAAGTCATCAAGCATGCCCACAAAAATGAGCATTTGCGCGCACTAACGTATGGCATATAGTCCCGAGTCCGCCAGACACGGACTCATCCCTTGATCCTCCTACATTTCTTCTTATGTCCGCCTTTGATCCAGTCGCTATGATACAGTCGTAAGCCCTTCTCTTTCAAAACAATGAAGCCAATATCGCACCGTTTCTGACAGTTACGACCGCAATACCGCGCGTCGCCGCATCCTTTACAAGATGAAAGCTTCAAGCTATCATCTGTCGCCCTATGGTGAGGACAAATAAACCACAGACACCGCCGCGCAGCATCCCGCCCGTGTCTCTTTTGCTCCGCATCGAGGTCCAGCCCGAGGTTACTGCCCAGTTGCAGCCACGCGCCCATGACGGACTCGCAGTCGTGACGGCGGTCCCGGTATGCTTTCGAGAGTGGCAACGCCTTATGCGCGGCTTGTAGAGCGCGATAACTAGGCCACCAATCAATACGTAGTTGCGCTTTCAGGTCGTCCAGGAAGCTTTTCGCTGCGTGTTGACGCTTCAGGTTACTCACGACGGATGAGAGGATGACGGTGAGGTGACAAGTGAAGCCTTCCTTTCCGATGGTTTTGGATGGCCCTGCGTATGAGGGAAGAGCGTGAGACGTGTTTTGTGACTGTGATATCACAAGTACTGCGTGCCTTCGATAGACTTTTCGACGCTCGGAGAACTCGATAAGGTGATGAGATCGAGCATGAGCGCCAGCAAAGCGATGAGGTCTTGTGCCCGCATCCCTTCCGCCGCGGCCAGCGCGTCTCGACGACGTTTATCTTCAAGTAGCTGACTGTATGTCACGAACAGGTCAGATATACGAGCGCCTGGTGACGAGTACGCCAACGAGATCCATCCGTAAATCGTACTGACCGGCTTATAGTAACAGCCGCCATGCCCATCGCTTCCACATGCGCAGCAGGGTCATCGAGCCCGCTTCCGCGCACCATGTTAAGCGTAAAGTGAACGAGGTGTTCGTGCGTCCTGTACTTGCGTACATGCGGATACATGGCCGGCACATCCGTCAAAGCGAGCATTTCGAGCAGCGCCTGACACGGGTGCCACAGCCCGCCCTGCGTCACGAACACTCCATGGGTAAGCATCGCGTTGAGCCTGGCGAAGAAGCGATCGGCGCCAAGAGTGTCCGGGGCTAAGATGGCGTCTTTGACTACATCTGAAGGTTGGAATGATACGGGAGAGTTCAGGAGCTTGCCGTAGGCGTTGAGCGTGTAGTACGAGACGGACTTGAACACGTCGAGGTTGCTGTCGATGCACCAGAACCAGAGCGCCACATGTGGCATGAAGCTCTCGCCAGGCGCTATCTGCTTTGGGGACCTTCAACGAGATGGGTGTCAGCTATGGCACATGTGATTGAGAAGCGATAGAACAGAGCGTACATTGTTTGGTGTATACCAACATAGTATCCGAGAAACGATACCACGGGCTCGGCCCATGTCACGCCCGTCGGTCTGAGTTGAGCTTCTTCGTATTGGTGCTCCTCCGGCGCACGTATCGCGAAGTGTCGTCGCTGCTGCCACAGACGACGCCAGATAGCCGATGACCGGCTTTGGAGCACCTCGAGGCGCCATTTGTTCTGAAGGAAGCGACAGAGAACCTCCAAAATGCTATCGACGAAGAACTGCGCCGGACAGTGGGCAGTTAAGCGGGCAATCAAATCCGCAGCAAGTGCCAATTCGCTATGAGGTGTACATACCATCGGAGCGGCAAGGAACTCGTCCTCTTCTGAGGCCACGATGTCCAGCAACAGATCCGGGAGTCCCACTTTCTCAAACTCGCGGTCGAGCTCCCCAAGACGGCCGATACGCGCAGCTGTTAGATGGACGAGCCAGACGATGCATCCCATCCGGTCAGCATGCACCAACAGCTCTTCGTTCTCTTCCCATCTCGCGCTTCGACCAGAGTACAACCGACGAAGCGTGTCGACGCCAGCAGCCAGAGCGCCGCGCGGATCCGTTCGCGGGCCCAGTTCCTCTGCAAGGGTACACTCAGAGACGCCTGCATCACCGGTCATGTGGTGGAGAGATCGTCTTTTCAGATGGCCGATATGGTGCTCTGTGTGGACATGCTCGGGGGTGCGGGTAGACATGTCTGGCTTATCGGTCACGCAGTAGGCGGGGTCAAGGGATGGCCTGATGGGCGTTGAGAGCAAAGTGCGATCTCGAGTCTCAACCGCGTCGATACCGATATGGCATCTCATTTCCGTTTGCGAAGGAGTGGGTTGCTTGTCGTGAGCTTTGCAGACGATGAAGATTATCCCAAACGCTAGATAGGCGACAAGAGAGTTGATATCGATCGCAGGCAGTGTCGTCCAACCGGAGACCTTTATCACGCAGCCCACGACAGCCTGTGTCAACCGGTGGGCGGAATCTGCAACCTAGAGTATATCGTCTAGGAGTCCCACGGCAGGCAACCCGGTCTGTGGATTCCCCGCGATACGCGATCTTCCTTCACTGGCACGAGATGTACAAAGCGCATTTCATTATATGTACCACAACAAAAGCCCACCAAGCAAAGCCCACAACTATTGCACGTATGTATATCTCAGAAAGGGAACGTAGCGAGCCGAGATTGAGAAGCAAGCATTTAGGTAGAGAAATAAACAGAGGGAAGGAAAGAGAGAGAGAGACTTGAGTATTACTTCTGCTACTTTGATTTCAAGCACTTCGGGATTGAGACTGGCAATGATGAGAGAGAGAGGGTCGTAAAGGCGTGAGGGAGGTATCGATAGCGGGTGATGCGGAGCGGCGAGGGAAGGGTAACGCAGCGAGCAAAGGGTGAGGAGCACGGCGAGGAGCATGAAGATAGCTAAGCGACGACGAGCAACGGGGTCGTAAGCATGAGCATGAGCATGGGGTGTCATAAGAGGGGGTCGTCATATACGAGCATAAGCGAGTCGAGCACTGAATCAAGGGCCAAGTTCTAATCAAGCGCGTCCAGCGCGCCCCCCTCAGCCCCCAACATAGTCCCATGCACCCTCACCCTATAAAGACACGTATACTCCGCACCCCAATTCCCCAGCACCCGCAACACGACCACCCCAAAGTCGACCCCCAGCGCCTTAACGCCCTCGTCGATGTCAAAGGTCTGCACGGGCCGCCCCTGCCGCGCATCGTACTCGAACGCCGCAATGCGGACGTACTTCGCGCTTTTCGGGAGCTCGGGCGGATACTCCTCTTCGCTCTCCTCGTCCTGCACCTGCGCGCATTCCGGAGAATTGGGAGCGGATTCGCCCGAAGCGCACGCCGCGCGCCTCATAGCCCGCCCCATCTCCCAAACGCCGACCTTCTCCAGATTCTCGCGCCCTTCAACAAGACCCCACACCTCCATCCCCCTCGGCGCGCTCCTCACGTCCCACGCGAGCTCCCGCGCGAGATGGTCGATGCTGATGGCGTCGATGAATGCGGGCCGGGCGAGCGCGACGCCGAGCGTTCCGTGGGAGCCGCCGAAGGGCCAGCACATCCCCGCGGAGGTGTCGTGGTGGAGCGCGTAGACGGGCGGGCGGCCGACGGGTGCGCCGGAGCCTGTGAGGAGACCGTGTAGGGCCTCGCGCAGACCGCGCGGGGGCGCGTCGAGTGTTGGGCTTGTGAGGCTGGGTATAACGCGCGCGCCGCCGGAATGGAGGGCAAAGTCTGCTCTCGCTAGTCCATCCTTCTGCGTGCGCAATACGGCTTCGTCGACGAGCGCACCGATGAGTACTGTGACATCTTCGCCGTTGTTGCCCTTGATGCTGAGCGGTTTGCCGGTGGATGTTGAGAGCTTCGTCCACCAAGCCGGCGCATGCGACTTATCGTTAACCGGCACGACCGGCTTCCTGACGACCTCGAGCGCCTCCTTCAGCCCTCCCTCCACACCTCCCAGCCTTTCCTCAAGCGCCTTAACGCGTTCGGCCTCCGCCTTCCGAGCCTTCTCCAGCCTATCCAACTCCTCCTTACTCCTCCCGTCCCTCTCCTTACTCCACTCCTGTCCTTTGACTTCTACGTCTCTCCTCAGCCCCTCGACCTCTTTCCGTACGCTCTGCACGATCTGGCTCGCCTGAGCACGTTCGGCCGCCCGATCCCCATCCACCCGACTGAGCTCCATCCTCAGACTCTCGAGTTTAGAGCTCACGTCCGCATGCGCGTCTAACCTCGCGCGCTCATGCGCCGCCTCGAAGCTGAGCTTGCCCAGCGCGTTCTCGAGCGCTTGAAGGCGCGCACCGAGTTCGGCGATGGATGCGGCTGGGACGTCGGGTGGGGTGTACACTGGCGCTGGGGTGGAAGGCGAGAAGAGGTGGCCGAGGTTGACTGAGCGCAGGCCGGAGTAGAAGAGGTATCCGATGAGCGCCACACTCGCGATTTGGATGAAGGGCGTGAAGTTAGTCGAGCCGAGCAACTTTGCGGGTTTGCGGATCGTCGCGTCGAATACTGTGCCAAGCGCTCGGCCAAGCGCCCGTAGAGACTCGGATAGGGCGAAGAGGATGAGGCGCAGGACAACGTTTACTGCGCGTCCTGTCAAAGCCCCGAGTGAACGCGCGCTGCGTTTGGGTTTCGGGTTCTTGGGCACGCGGCGAGGGAGGGAGGGAGCGCGTTGATGACTGTTGAACGAGTCGTCGGAAATTAAAGGCGGCTGGCTTTCGTCTATAGAGTCGAGAGACGATTCGAATGGTTGTGGTTGTGGCGGTGCGGGCGGAAGGGAAGGCGGGCGGGATGCGGGGCGGATGATGAGTGGGGGAGCTTGGACCGAGCCTGCTCGTTGCATGTCCAGCTGTAAACAATGTCAGAACATGTATGCCACAGTAAAATGATAGAACGCTCACCGTTTCGCCAATCTTCTCGACGATCTCTCCATCGTCCTCCTCAGCGAGCGTAGCCAAACTGTCCTCCTTTCCGCCCATACTCTTCCTCTTCCTCCTTTTCCCTCCATACCCCACAGTCGGCAAGCCGGTCAACAACCCGCCGGCCTCTCCCTTTTTCTTTTTCCTCCTCCTGGGCTTGCCCGAATCGCTGTCCTCCTCAGACTCGGACTCCAAGTCAGATTCGGTAGGCTTGTACGCTTTCGCGTCGACGGGGATGTTCGCGCGCCGGACGCGGCGAGCTTGAGGCTGGCTCTGCTGAAACTCGCGCTCTTCAGCGGCATAGTCATACGACTCGTCCTGGGTATGTCCATTTCCATTTCCGTTCTGCTGGGTCTGGGACTGCGACGACGGGCGCATATAAAACGCCGTCCTCTTCGCCGTCTCCGCGATGCTCTCGCCCAGCGCAACAAGCGGGCTCTTCCCCCTCTCCTTCCGCTTCGCCATCTCCTGCGCGTTCTCCTCGTCGTCGCTCCCAGGCACAAACTGCAGACTGGGCGCCTTGGTCGCCGGCCGCTGCGTCTGGCTCCCGCGCGACGACGGCGGCTTGGCGCGGATCGGCAACTGCCGCGTGTGCTGCGTCTCCTTCTCGTAGTCCACGCTCGTGCTCCGCGGCACTCTCTGTGTGTAGCTGTGGTCCATCTCGCTCGATGTGTTTGCGGCGATGGTCAGCGCGTTGGCGATGTTCACGCTCGTGTCTTGTACGACCCACGCCGGGTCCTGCGGGTTGCTGGCCGTGGCGGACTCGCGGTGTTTCAGTCGCGCGAAGCGTATGAGGGCGGGTGCGTCGGCCGAGACGTCGACGCCGTCGGGCAGGGACGTGTTCGATTTGTTGAGCTTTGGTGGCGAGCGCGTCGTGGCCGTGGGCGCGCTATTTAAACGGCAGTCAGTCACACGTGCTCGACATGCGCAGGAGGGGAGAAGACGAGTCGCGTGCTACGGGCGTGTTCGTACATAGCCAGTGACGACAGCACCGGCGCCTATTTAATGAACACTTACCCGTACGAGTACGATGTCGGGACGTTCGGCTCGGCCGCTCGCGACGGTGAGCTCGGTGGCTTGTTGGTAGTGGTGGTGGTTGTAGCGGTAGAAGCCTGTTGCTGGGCGAGACGCGGTGCGGGGAGGGGGTTGCGCTTGTTTAGGAAAGTGCTGTGATCGAGTCGTCGACCTTGGCCCAGTGGCGTTCCTGAGAACGACATATAAGTTTCGAGCGGGTCGGGATGGTAAGAGTGCAAGGGCAGGAAGGGCGTTCGAGTGGCAAGCAAGGGCGGCGTTGTGGTTGATCCCTGCCACGAGGGCGGCCCGTTGCTCTTTGTCCGTGTTTGGGTCAGAGGCGCACAATCACGACCCGTACCTTTTGTTTCTTTCCTTGTCCCTCACCACGCTTGAACTCTCTGGGTCAATGCGTACTTCGAGTAGGGTCTAAGCTGTGATGGATGTGATCGTCGTTGAGCCCAACATCTCCCTCGTCGGCGTCGACTCGACTTCAACGCGCACACGTGACTTTGTATATTACATCACTGCTCTATTTTCCCTTCACTACGGGAAGATGATATGTTGAGATGTGGAATAGACGTTGTAGCAGTAGCGCCCGAGGCGCAGTGTGAGAAGAGTAGGACGCATACCGGCGGAAGGGCCGAGCCTACAGACAATGCCGCGGCAAGCAGTGCTTGTCCGCAACGTCCATCATAGGATTATATGTCTCATCCTTGCCCAAATTCATGTTTGCTATATCAATGAAGGCGTTTCTTGTTGCTACAGCGCGATACTACCGCCGGGGTTGAATCTGAGCGAGCCGCCCGTCTGCAATGGTGCGACGAGAAAGAGAGAAATCCGTTACCCGTGCACTACCAGGCACTACCATTGAATCTGGATAGTGTCTTCACGAACGGTACGTGAGATCCCACCTCGGAAGTCTACAACCGTTTACTTATACGACTTGCCTGATCCACACAGTCCGACCCCTCAAGCAGACGATAACAGAACACTGAGCCCGCGCGGTATGTACGCGCCGATCCACATGAGCCCCGTCACACCCACCCAAAGGAGAAAAATCCGAAGCACTCCTCACTTCGAATGCGGGCGCTCTGCGCCGTACAGTTCTGATTGCCGACGACGCTTTCGAGCGGCTGAATGCATTGCTCGATCTCTGTGTGCCCAAGCCGGCCGGCGGCGAGCATACGCGGCTGCGCGGCATCCTCTGCCGCTCACTGGATACATATACCAGCCCAGACTCCGCCTTCAGACACAAGATCCAATACCATATCGCCGATTCCTCGAGCCCTACAGCCGCTTCCTAGATTTCAATGGCCGACCCAGATGCGCCTGTCGTCACCGTTCCCGGCGTAGACGAACTCAACCTCTTCTCTTTCAAACACGAGTACGTCTCCTCCCAGGTTACATTCCGCCATCCCACCCGCTCTGACTCTGCTCCGCCAACAGCGTCTACCCTCTCATTGACCCTGCCTCGCACTTCACCTCCAAATCATACACGGGCAAGACCGTCCTCATCACCGGCGGCTCGACCGGCATCGGCGCCACAGCGGCCCAATTCTACGCACGCGCCGGAGCGAACCTCGTCCTCGTCGCGCGCAACGCGTCCCGCTTGCATGAAGCCAAGTCCGAGATTGAGAAGGTCGCGCCGGGTGCGAAGGTCGAGGTTGTTGTAGGCGATATCAGCGAGGTCGGGACAGGCAAGGAGGCGGTGAAGGTTGCGGTGGAGAAGTTCGGCGGGGTGGACGTTGTGATCGCGAACCAGTTCGTGCAGATACGAGGGCCTATGACCAGTGCGTTCGTCCTGCTCTGTGAGACCAACAAGACAAACTGATTTGACATGTGTAGGACTTGGAGACCTTGATCCCTCGGAATGGTGGAAGACGCAAGAGGTGAACGTGCGAGGCACTCTCAACATCGTCCAGTACGCTCTATACCTCTTCCTCCACTCGCCTTCCCTGTACTGAATGCCCGACTCTCTAGCGCGGCTATCCCCGAACTACTCAAAACCAAAGGTCAAGTCATAGTAACAACTTCCCAAGCCGCACACCTCCGCTTCGCTGCTATAGCGGACTACTGCGTACATCCGTCTTGTACCCCACTTTGCCCCCCATGCTGACCTCACCTACAGATCAGTAAGCACACCCTCAACCGCTTCGTCGAGATCCTCGCGCTCGGTACGCCTCTCCCCCCTCTACAGCCCATTCACCCTGTCTTATTCCTTGATCAGATTACCCAGAGCTCTCATTCTACGCCGTCCACCCTGGCATAATTTGGACACCAGGCTCAACCGAGTCCGTACGGGCAATGGGCTTCCACGACAGCGTGACTATGCCCGACACGCTCGAGTTGCCCGCCGCGACGTTCTTGTGGCTTACGGCGAGGAACGCAGAGTTTCTGAGCGGGAGATACGTCCAGGCGACTTGGGATTTGGGAGAGGTGGTGGCGAAGCAGGAGGAGATTGTGAAGGGGAACTTGTTGGTTACGAAGCTTGCCGGGCCGGCAAAGGTCATACAGTGAATATGTATAGTCTACGCTAACAGTTAATCCGACTGACTCGGACCCTCTTCCCTTTCGTGAACTCAATGCTGTCTTCTTCGACCTCAGGACCAGATTAGCTACTAAGCACTCCGATCTTGCCCATCACCCTGCAAGAAGCAAAGCTTGCTCATGTCGAGATGTCGACATTCGGTATAAGTATGAATGTGTGTGCTAGGCTAGCTCGGCGAAAGTCCGGGCCGAACAACAGTCCAAGCCTAATTGTGGTCGTACTGTTCTCTGTCACGCCGCCGAATCCCCTGGCGAACAATGATGGCGAAGGAACACTTCGCCTGTCCCGCGTCACGCTCGAGACCGATGAGCAATCGGTCGTAAAACTACAGTACCACTCGAATTGTGCTTCTATTTGCGCGGTCGCGAGAGATTCCAGCTCCAATATATGATTTGCTGTGGCCAAATGTGTGATTCATACACTTATAAATAAGCTCCAAGAGCAGTACTGCGTCTACTATATAGGTGCTCGACGTTCAGTACGTTCCTGGCGAGCACGAGCACGAGCGAGCGCGACGCGCTTTGCGACACGCGGCAAGGCACGTGGGCGCGCGTGCGCGTCAAGTTCAACCGAGCCCGCGCCGGGTCCAACGCTCTCCTCCTTCGTCTTCTCCTCTCTTCTCCTCTCTCTTGGCTTGATGGACCTCGTTTGACCACCTGGTGTACTCTCAGCCTGATGTGACGTGCGGGACGGACGGGATGAGTCAAGGAGAAGGTGAGGCGCACGAGGAAGGCGGGCCCACCGCGACTCTGTCGTTGATGTAAGTCGAACTCGCATGGTAAATCAGATCCGATTTTTGACGCGTTCGGACCGCCATAGATATTAGATTACTTGCCCTGCAAGCGCGAGCATTGGGCAGAGATTACCATGTGCTAACATTGGCGGGTAGGTCCACAAGGCCTGCAAGGCAATTGGGAATTCTCATAGAGTATCGGGGCTCTCTGCGCTTATGGTGCACACTGTAAGTCGTCTTTCAGTCGTACAGGATCATCAAGGGCTCGTATCTTACGAAACATAGTGCGCAGAGTGACTACTCAAGGACCTTATCCCCATATCGAGATACCAGGCATCCGCCCTGAGTATCAAGCCACCATCTTCCCCAAGTGACATTCTGCTGGAATATCAACAGTCCGACCGAAGCGCCAAGCACAAGATCGTACTGACCTTCTCGCCTGGAATAGTCAGCGAAGATGTTTGTTGGATGGTCGGTACTGATGCACGGGCGGATGGACGAAGGGGCTGCGGGAGAGACATTACATATGAGTCGCAAGATTAGGTGTAGTATACGTGAACACGTACACCCGCGTGCTGGATATCGGTCGCTCCTCCTTCCCGATTGTTTCTCGAGCGACTCGACGTGAGCATGCCACACTGCGAGCAATAAACATCATGCTGAGTCTCCCTTCCTTGTCGACCTTCGGCCAGCGCATTGAAGATGAAATCACTAGAGTGTGCGCTGCGGTTCAATGCTGTCCACACCCTACAGGGGTGACATCAGGATGTATGTGCAGGTCGTGACTTTTATAATCACCAGTCGATGAACTCCTGGTACTTCCCACATCTTTCGCATGGCAAGGGAAGTCCTACCACAAAGGTTCCACCCATGCCCGTCTCTTGAAAATCACGTTGAAATAATGTGTTGAGACGAAGATATTCGTTCTCTGTGATGTACCACAGGTACACACTGCGACCACCTTCTTCTCCGACATACTTAGTCGGAGGTGGCTGATGGTATGTGGCCTATGCAAGATGAGGTTGGTGATTCCGGGCTTTACTATGAACTCATTCACCGGGATGAATTCAAAGAGCAGTCCGACATCGTCGGCCACACACGCAAGAGGAGACATCGAAGAACAGGTTGGATTTCTGCTGAACGTAAGGAGCAACAATGTCCTGTCGATGGTGTCCAAGACGTGGTATGGTATACCGACTATAGATTGGTCTCGCGGACGGTGGGGGTCGTTGACGTGTCCTTAGCACGAAGGAATGGAGCGCACGTAGCTTTGTACGGGCCTTCCTTCCCACCTGGACTTTGCTTGCGTCGTGTGACATTGCTCTAAAGAGTCTATAGTTCCTACCAAGTCAGTGTATACATGAGGCCATTTCTGCCCTGATTGGGTTGAACCCGATACTCGCGGCGGCAGACGGCAGTGGCAGAATCTTATATCATTGTAGGGTGGCAATGACTCTCCGGAGTGCCCGGTACCTGTTAGATTTTACGCTAAACTTTTCATGGAGGGTGGAAGTAGGTGGACTAAAGAGGAACATTCAGCTCAAGTATCCGTAACCTGCGCAGATCACCACCGATCACCGCCGCCGCTCAAGCGCCCGAGGCATTTTGCCCCCCACGCTGACCACCGTTGACGCCTCCCTTCGAATGCTCGCGCTCATTAACTGTAGGCCCTTCGCGTCTTCAGTCGTCACCTACTGCGTCCAGAGTATCACCACGGGATGTATACTGTGACCGAGGACTCTGTCTCTCAACGCTGTGCCTGCGGGTCTGCACCCGGATGACAGTCATGGCCGTGTCCAATGGAAGGCGTTGGTGGATGCACTTTTTTTGCGCGGAACACGATGCGTGCTAGCACGTACTCCACGCCACACTTCAGTATCGGCGACCTTCTTGTGGCGTGATGTAGGAGTGGTGTAGGATATATTGTGAAGCACGTGATCTATCGGTCATCCCAATGCCGGAATTCGGTACATACGAGAATGACAGAAGCAACATAAGGATTTCGATGCACGTAACGCCCGACCATTTTCGGAAGATTCAAACCCAAAGCTTCATCTCCGTGCAACTGGGCGCGGGAATGCACCGCATCATGATTGGGCAGGATTGGGCGCGGCCTCCGCCAGGTTCAATGCCGACCACCATCTTCCCCGCCGCCTGCCTTGACGACGTACGCACACTGTCAACTTCAACTGTATAGTACTCTAATACTTGCATAGCCTCATAGATACCGGCTTTCTATTGTTTTTGCTCCTGCTATAACTTGACGGACACGTGAAGCGCCTCCTCTCCCGAAAAGCTTGTCAAGTCTCGCCCGTATGACCGATGCACCGTGAACGATTATGGGTCTATGTATAAAGTTCGTACTGGGAGGAGACTGGGTAAACATTGAACATTGAGCACGATGCACCTCCTCGGAATCGAACGTGTCCCTGCACTACAGAAGCTCCAGAAGAGGTGGCGAGCATCGGTGTAGCGCAGAGTGAAGGGAAGCTCTCCGCACGTGTGTAACAAGCCAATGCGTGACCTGGCCATCTCAACCTTACTGCGGAATTAAACGGGTTCCTGCCTCGAAACTCTACGGACGCTTGCCTCTTGAAGACTATGGTGATGTCATCATATGTAGGACATGCCACGGCTATCCCAAAGGACATCCGGGATTGGACAGTCGAGCTTGGGTTTGCCTCTGGCCTGAGATCTATGGCAAAGACTGAACCAACCATGCGTGGCAACTCCTCGCCTTCGAGGTTCCTTGAGTCATCTCTAGGCTCTCTCTGATGATTACTCTTCAGGGCGTCGTAGTATCATGGACTCAAAGTTTCGAGATGCCGTTCATGCCGCACCCTCATAATTTGCCATCGTACGTCCTTCTCGTGCGACACGGACAAGGCTATGGGGTATCCCATTTGCACGGGACTCCTCGCCAACGCTATTCGTTGTGCTCTTAAGGAGACCACTGCGATGCGCTATCGTCAGGCCTCTGGTCCCTCCGACTTCGAATACTATCTCGAGGAGTGTAAGTCCCATTATATTGTATACATGATCACGACCATCTGAAATCTATTCCAGTTCTAACATGAGCTGGAGCCAATCTCAGAACTGGAAGGCTCGCGCTGAAGACCTCGTCCAGGGCGATCCACGGGTACGCACATCGATCATCTACATTGCCTAATGATATCCTTACGGTGTTGCAGGCTCAGTCGCTCAGAGCCAAGATTCTCCCCACTCCGTCCAAGGGCGATTGCATCTTTGCTGTCTACTGCTTGTCGAGCTCCCAATTCTCCTTCACATTCACCGTCGAGTCCGTCGATGCCAAGGACGTGCCGTCGTTCGCTAGTCCGGACAGTGCCACAGAGTACGAGTTGGGCGGCACGTACAACAGCGACAATGACTTCATTGGTCGTAACGTTGAATTCAAGGCCGAGATTGGTAACAACAAGTTCAACATAACCATCGGCAATGTCAACATCAACGGACCGGTGGTGGGCGGCCCTGCGGCGACTGTTACCGCCATAGGGAAGGGTTCCTGGTCGTAGATGGGCCCTAATCTTTTCTTCGGCGATCCATTGAAGGTTATGGTGTATGATTGACGAGCGCTACGGTTCTTTGTACTGAAGTCACGGTGTTCTGATATTCTCTATGTTCGCTCAGAATGACGAGCAATGTTGATGCCTTATATCTTGACCATATGACAGATTGTTCTTAACCCCACACAGACTCTCATGAAGGGTAACGATGCGGCAAAAGTTGCTGAAGGCGGCGGAGGGGGTAAATAAGTCTGTACAGCAGAGAGAATACGGCACAAATATCTGTACACCAGCCTTCATAGAGGAAGAGTCGGGGTACTCCCGCGGTCTGGACACCTTGAATTGACAGGGAGAGCGCTAGCTGTCTACTAGTCATGAGAGTGTATGATGAAGGTCATTGCAACGCGCCCAGACAGTATAAGAAAGATAGGAATGTTCCATTTGTGTACATGCGAAGCGTTAGATGTACGAGGATTTGGAGACCCAGGCTGTTTCCTGTGTATTACAGCCGTTTTCAATGAAGTGCGGAATCGCGAATCGCGAATCGCGCCCGCGACCTCCCAGAAGGCGTGGGCCAGCGGCAAATGCGCCTCCACGATGAAGCGGGTTCAATTCCCCGCACTTCCACTCAGCTGGACGATTTATTCTTCTTTCCTAGGCCTATAAGTCTGCGCGCAAATTTCACTATAATGTCCCGAAGGGCTACTGAGCCTGTTGATCAAAGTGCTAGGAGGTCTGAGCGTGCATACGATGCAAGTAATGGTTCGTCGCGGGTCGGGATCGAACCTGGGGACGCGTCGGCTCTGGCCGAGGCGCGCTGACGCGATTCGCGATTCCGCACTTCATGGAGCGCGCACCGGCGCGCACCGTCGTCTGGAGCGCATGGCATCAACTCCGGACCTACTCTTTGCACCTCCTTCGACGCTCAACGAGACCTCCACTCCGCCTACATATACCAGACTGCCCGGACTAGACATGACACCCTGTTCCCTATCTTCCCTTCCTTCGACTCGACAAATCCGACTGGCAATGGCAGACCCCGACGCGCCTGTCCTCACCGTCCCCGATATCGACGAGCTCAACCTCCGTCTTTCAAACACGAGTACGCCCATCCTGCTTTGTCGTACTACTGGCCCCCCACTCTGACCACCTCTATACAGCGTCTACCCCTTGATTGACCCAACACCCTCATTCACCACCAAACCCTACACATCCACGTCCTCGTCACAGGTAGCTCGACCGGCATCGGCCTCACATCCGCACAATTCTACGCTCGGGCCGGAGGGAACCCTCGTCCTCGTCGCGCGCAACGCCGAGCGGCTCAGCCAAGCCAAGTCTGATACTGAGAAAGTTGAGGATGGCGCGAAGGTCGAGGTCGTTGTCGGCGATGTTAGTGAGGTTGAGGTTGTACGGGAGGTGGTGAGGAGGGCGGTGGAGGTGTTCGGGGACGTGGATGTTGTGCTTGCAAATCAGTTCGTGTAGGTTCGAGGGTCTGTTGCTAGTACGTTCCTGCTTCATATATATATGTGTGTGATTGACCTGGACCTTTGTGTGTAGAGTTCGCGGAGATCGATCCTGTGCAGTGGTAGAAGACGCAGGAGGGGAATGTACGGGGAACACTCAGCATCGTCTAGTACGCGCTCATCCCGCTCAACATTGATCTCCTATTAACCGTCTGCCTGTGATAGCACTGCCATCCCCGAACTACTCAAGACCAAAGGCCAAGTCATAATTACGACCTCCCAGGCCGCACACCTTCGCTGCCCCGCGATCGCGGATTACTCGGTACACCCATCTCCATCCTTCCCACTACCCCTATCTGACAGTATTCTACAGAAAAGCAAACACACTCTCAACCGCTTCGTCGAGATCCTCGCTCTCGGTACGCCCCTCTCCCTTCCCTCCCATCTGACAACCGACTCACACTTCGCACCCTCCACAGGCAGACTACAGAACTCACATTCTACGCTGTCCACCCGGGCATAATCTGGACCCCTGGATTAACCGAATCCGTACAAGCAATGAGCATCCATGACAGTGTCACCATACCAGATACGCTTGAACTACCCGCCGCGACGTTCTTGTGGCTTACGGCTAGGAACGCGGAGTTCTTGAGCGGGAGATGCGTCCAGGCGACTTGGAATCTGGGAGAGGTGTTGGAGAAGGAGGAGGAGGTCGTGAAAGGGAATTTGTTGGTTACGAAGCCTGCGGGGCCGGCAAAGACGGTCTGGAGATGTGTATGCAGACTTTGTTTCAGATCAAGAGGAGATCCCGTTACACATCATCTCTTTCTGGATGATGCGTGCTGCGCGCTACCTGCTGCTAGGTGCACGTTGCCGGCGAGTTGGACTGACTCACAACATGTTCTCTTCGATGAAGTTCACTTTAGCTGTTTCTTCAAGCTCTGAGTCCGGGGTAGGCTCCTCAGCTCAGCAGCTTAGCATCCGACCTGTGCCCCTTGCCCTGCAAGAAGCAACTGTAACCGGTATCTACTGTACATAGTAGCTACGTACTTACTATGCTGTCGCGCCCATTCGGCGACTACCCCTACGTTAGGGTTACGTTCGTATGTAGTCGCGCGTCGCGCGTTCGCTCTCACCACCACTTACACAACCCAAACCCTTTCCTCTTTCCTTCTCTCTTCTTTCTCTTTCTCTTTCCTTCTCTTTCTCTCGTCTCGTACCTACTCAGTACTCGTCTCGCTCGCGCTCTGCGCTCTCTCGACTCGACTCGACCTATACTTACTCTACTCTCGGACTCGGCGCAATACATCGTTTTCGCTCTTCCTTTACGTAGTAGACGAATTTGAGACGAATACGTCTCTAAGTTCTCGCGTGGACTCGACTCGACTTCCGCCCGCGCTCTAGCTAACTACGTCGATTCGACGTAGTTAGCTCTCGCGCCCCATAAGCAACTACGGTTATCCGGCCGCCTCCCAGCTCTCGGAACCCTACGTCTGACGGGCCCTACGACCCCGTCGCCCTTTCACCTTCGCGCCGACCCCTTCCTCCGCTCGACTTCTCTGCCGTTCCGCCTAGCGTCGCTTACGGGCGTCACAGCAACACTCAGTGGGGCAAAGATGGCTTCTGCAGTTGGTATATGAACGTGCGTACAAGGCCATTCCGGAGAAAGCGCGGGCCAAACACCAAACCGATCTACATCGACAGTCCAAGACATGACGCTTCGTCCCACATATATGGGCTCTACTACATGTCTTCTCCTTTAGCCCGGCGCTCGCTCTTCATGGCACCCGTACGCTCCTCATCACTCGCACATGCTTCCCCATCTGATCCACCCCATACATACAGTTCAACTCCACATCCCATCCCGGGCTGGTCCTGGGCCACCTCGACGACGCAAACTCCTCATCCATCCAATGCACCGACGACGAAACCCACGCCGCCTGCGTACGGCGCGAGCACACACATGAAGCAGTCGCCAATGCGCCGCTGATATTACTCTACTTCTTCGCGCTGGGCGCGCTGTTTTTTGCGAGACGAATGATCGCGCAGTCTGTTCGCCGGACTGGCATGAGAGGCCAGGAAGGCCTAGTTGACAGTGTGCGCACGATGTTGGGATGTACGTTTCGCCTCGCGCATACTGCATCGTCTCTAGGCTGACCTATTCGACGCAGATGAGCCTGTGCGAGGAAGGAGGGAGACTATACAAGCAGAGCCGATGGGGAAAGTGACTAGACCGAAGAGCGTCGCAGGATTCTCGTTCACGTCTCCCGCCATTGTCAGGCGTACGCGTTCTGCATCGCAATAGCCACCATGTGAACACTCGAATGCAATGTAGTCGTCAGATGGATAGTGACTAAGAGCGTCTATGGTACACCATTATATTTGCGTCAAGATAAGCAAGTTCTACCGGTCGTCCTCTCAAAACCTCCTCGACCTCCTCCCATTTCATCCGAAGTGGATCACTGCAGGCCCGAACATACCCATACTAGGTAGCTCCACCGCGTTGCCCAGCTGCTCCTTGACGCGCGGATCGTCGAGTATAGCGTTTGGCGCGTCATCGGGTTCCGCGTCGTCGGTGACCAGGGACCGCAATCTAGATGGCGGCATACCGTACGGATGCCACTTGATCCAGTCACTACATAGTCATTTAGCTCTAAGCCCTCTCACGAGACGCATACATGAGCACGTACATCACCTCTTCCTCGAGCTCCTTCGCCTCATCATCCCGCTTCACACGTCGCAACATCCGCGCGATGGCGGCCTTGGCCCATAAGAACGTGTACGGCCCTGCACCGCCGTCGCCGCGCTCCATCGCGTCTTTCAGTATCTTGTATGCCTCGTCTTCGCGCCCTTCATTCTTGTGCAGTGCGACGGCGAGTAGCATGGCGGGCGTGTCTTCGGGAGTGGGGCCTTTATGTCCGTCGATGACGGCGCGGAGGTAGGGCTCGGCTTCGTAGATGCGCGTGGGTTGCGAGTACTACATCGCCGCACATGAGCACCTCCTGCATAGCAAACGCGCAAGTACGGGAAGTAGATCGTACCCTGAGAAGGTTGGCCATCTGCCAGTTGCATGTATCAAGCACCTGCGCCCTCTCCGCCTCGACCTTAGCTGCGTCAATTGGCTTCTCCAGCGCAGCCGGCAAGTGCAATTCGGCGAGCTTCTCAACCGAGGCTGTGCGCGCCGAGTCCATCATCTCCTTCAGCGCCGTGACGAAACGAGGTTGCTCTTCCGGTGGAACAACGCCCTCCTGGAAGTACCGCGGGAAGGACGGGTCGAGAATGTTAGGGCCGGACATCGTTGAAGGTTGGTTTCGGATCGTGGGGGTGAAGAGGTGCGAGAGCGTCGGGTGGTGGTGTTTATGTAGTCTCAGGTCATACCGCCAATTTCATACGCATGGACGGCGAACTGCCAACTTTACCCGGATGCGGACGTTTCATTCAGTGCAAAGCGAATAAGCGAGGGGGTTGTGGCGCTTCGCGTTGTCAACATCAACGCGAGGCATTGCGCCGGCTACGGTGACACGTTTCGAGCCATGTCAGCTCTGACAACCACCTGTGTGGGAGATGGCAGGCCATGCTCGAAGGGTCAATAACACGACGAGGCAGTAGGTATCTGAGAGAGCGCGGACGGCTGCGCTCGCCAAGCGCTCGCCACAAAGGCCGTGGGATTCACTTCGGACTTGCGGGCCTACACGCCGAAGCAACAATGACGACCATACGGTTGATCAGATTGTCGAAGTACAATAGTGGAATAGTGGATACGCATGGGTGGTAGGGAGAAGAACGGACTACAGCGAGGGCTCTGTCTGACTCAGGCCTCAGTAACAACGGACGACGCCGGTCGAACCTTCTCCTTCTCGATGCCCCACTGCTGATCGACGTCCGTGCGCATCTCAATTTCTTTCATGATGATGACAGTGAGTAGCCCAAGACCGGAAATGCCGATCATGACCTCCCAGAGGACGACGAGGCTGCGCGCAAAGGCGTCACGGACCTCTGTCTGGAGAGGCTCCGGGATGGTCGGCAGTAGCGGGATGGCGGCATATGCGATCGAGGTGCCTTTCGCGAGCGTCGACCGGTATTGCTCGGGAAGTTGCTTCGAGAGTTGATTCTGCAAGACGGCACCGCCGATGGCGATACCCCAAGTCTAGTAGAGGGTCAGCGTCGGGGCAGTTATGGAAGGTTGAAGCTCTTCACCTGGGACAGATTCCTGCAGAACGCGTAGAACGCCAGAGCATGCGCATTGTTCGAGTACGGTAGCGGGGCTAGGATCGGGAACGACGTCGCGACCCACATGATGCCCAAACCGATGCCAAGCACAATCTGACAGCCGATGTAACGCGCCGTGTCGCTCGTACGATCCAAGAGAGTGAGGATACCAAAGCCCACGATGATGAGGATCCATCCGATGATGTTCTGCGGTCGGTACCGCCGAAAGACCTGAACGGAGGCGCCGCACACCATAGCTGAGGGCGTGATGAACATAGCAAGGCCGAGCAGATCGACGCCAGAGCGGATCGGAGATGCGCCGAGGACGGCCTGAAAGTAGACGGGAAGGTAGTCTGCGTGAAGCGTTCAGCTTGTTATTGCGGTGAAGGGTTGAACCGACGCACATATCGCAGCAAAAGCGACGATGCTGTGCACGAGTGTTCCGAGATAGCCGCTAAGCGACGTTAGATTGGCTACTACGTCCCATGGGATCTGTGAAGTGCTTGTGAGAAAGACGTCGAATCAAGAGCAGTAACAACTCACGGTAGGCTCAGCACTCCAGTACTTCTCTATGAAAGGGAATGCGAATAATGCACAGCATCCAAGGACGATTGGAAGTAAGGTCTGGTAAGATGACCACGCAAACTGCACGCCTCCCCATGTGAGTCCTAGCGTGAGAGACGTTGATCCTCCGACGACAACGATACTTCCGCTACATACGTATCAGCCAGGTCGAACAACGGCATGAAGTTGTGACGCTTACATCCAGTCAATCCGCCGCATCTTCTCACTGAACGTAGACTGTGGCGCCCTGACCTTGAGAAACACCATCACAAGGACCAGCGCTATACCAGAGACGGGGAGATTCAAGTAGAAGAGCCATCTCCAGGCTCCCGCGTTAGCAAGCACGCCGCCTACTGTCGGACCGATTGCGGATGCCACAGCCCACATGCTGTCTGATAGTCAGTCATGTAGCCTGGAAGAGAACTGCGAGATGGCGAACACAGCGACTATACCGAGAACTACGCCACGCTGAGGGAGAGGCACAAGATCGGCGTAGATGATCTCGGTCGTGGCAATGCACCCGCCCGACGCAAAGCCTTGGATGGCTGAGATGATCGTTAGGGCTATCCTCATGACGTAATAGACACTACCCATACGAACCTCGCGCGGCAATGAGCATGTTGAGGGTTTGTGCTGCACCAGCAAGAGCTGAGCCCAACGCAAACAACGCGATACAGATGAGTAGAACCGGTTTCCTTCCGAAGATGGATACCAGTCCACCACAAACAGGAACCAGAGCCACGCCAGCAAGGGTGTACGCGCTGCCTGGCCAAATGAAGTCGGAGCCACCCAGGTCTTCAACGATCGTCGGTAGTGCAGTAGAGATGGCGGTCTGACGATTTAGGTCAATCCAACGACCGACATGCCGAGAGAGAGAACAACACGCATACTAAGTCCATCGCAGATAGAAAGTCACTTGTCATAGTTGCAGCTATGACCATCCAGAACCCGATGGGTCGGTTGGACCAGGACCACCCTGATTCATCTACTACCGACGGAGACCGCTCATCATATCTAGACCATACATTAGTTTGTGTCCATCACGCCGACAAGTAGCGACCTACTCGGCCTTCGCGGAGACAACAGTTGGCAACTGAGAGTCGGGCTGCTCGCGGATAGTCTGCGTCGAGCTTTGTTCTCGTAGACTAGAGTTCCCACTCATAGTGTTGAAACCGACGTGGTCGCGTAAAGAAAGGGATGCTACCGGCGCGCACCTCTACAATGGAGAAGTTGGGGCGTCCAGCGTACTATGCTGTGCGTAATCGCCGAAGTCCGACCTGTCAGAGATCAATCTTTGACCCGGAATTCCCATCCCAAGGTAGGGCCTCATGCACGACTGATCGAGACGGACGATGTGGGAGTCCGATGTTCAGAAGACGAAGCATGTCGTACCGGCCTGTCATGAACCACGAAAGGTAGGAGCGAATGGACCACCCTCGCCACAGGCTAACCACGGGCCGCGCCATCGGGTACCGTAGGCTGACCGTCCGTATCCGGCACACCTGAATCTCCGGTAGGGTGTTGGCTTCAGCGCTTCGGCCATGATGGCGCTCAATTGAATGAAAAGGTAGCGATGATCAATGTAAGGGACCAATGAGCTATTCGTGCGTTGATAGGCATTCAATCACCATATAGAATCTTGCATCCGGCCCAAGTGCTTCCAGGAACCGATTCTTGACATGTATGCTATCGTGAAACCCACTATCAGTAACCATCGCTCGCTTCATCTTCAGCACACGAGAACGCAGGAGAACGCACCTGCGCGGGCAACTTCAGGCTCTCAGCCGTAGATGCCGAGAAGGCCCACCAGAGAGCCTCCGACGCAAATACATCTTCCTCCCAAAACACGCCGCTACTGATGGTACGAACACTTGAATAAGGGAGACTTTGCCGATGCGTTGTCGGCACCATTATTCACTTCCGACCACAGTGACGGTACAATCGAGATGCCCATTCGCTTCAGAAGCCAGGAAGCAGCCGCGCACGTTCATTACTATTTTGCCTTGCAGAACACGATGGAGATAATCAAGGGGCCCGGTTGGTAGCATGGGACCAAGAAGGACTTGGAGGAGGCGTGCGAGCTCGTGCGAGGCGCCGGCGACTGCGAAGTCATTTTCGGCAATGACCGAATGATCTTCGCACGGATCAACTTGCTCGAGAATGCTTCGCGCGACAACACTTGCTTCGGACGGCGATCTTCCAGGCGGACGTACGTTACCTCTGAAGTTCGTCCGAGTGCCTCGAGTACTTTGCGCTACAGCACTACAACAGAGAGACATCGGGAGCAGAATCTGTGCGAAGTCTCCCATACTCCATTTTCACACCAGGCGAAGAACGCGCAGATGTCGTCGGCGGACAGCTTTGACCATGCTGGCCGAAGCGGGTGGCGCCGGAAGAGGCGAGACCTGACCGGGGATGTATGTATCACGCACCTTTACCGTTCTTAGTGCAACGTTCTCGGCGAAGTGGGTCGGTAGAAGGGCCGACAGTACTAAGTATCACTTCCTGAAGCTACTGTGACAGGTCAGATCTCTGCGACAGACGTATGGCTGAACTCTTTTTCAATTCTTATGCATGCGCATTTCCTATCTGATTTGTCTCCATCTCAGGAATGTCATCTTCGTAGCCTCCTTCAGGATTCTTCTGAAAAGCCGCCACTGATGTCCAGCTATCTCCTCAATGGCGCCGTCATCTTCCCTCAAGCCTAAAGCAACGTTCATCGCGCTGAACGAGACAGTGATGGTATCTCTGCCACCTCTGTCGTCGTCTGCTGGCGATTCCTCTATTCACCCATCGTGAGTTTTGGCGGGTATGATCCAATTGCGCCCGGTTTGCTCATTTGATTCCAGTGTCATCCTTTTCTTCGGTTCAAGTAAGAAACAAACAATCATGATCCTTTCAAGATGCTGACACTGGCCACAGTGGATGCCGACACCAAACTTCTCCGTCGACACCTCCATACCCTCCTTTCGCTTTACCCAACGGCGACCATGTACTTTATACACTCGTTTCGCGGATATTGGTTCTCAAGGACCAGGACGATTGTGAGAACAACCTGCTGCGTTAACAGCAAAACCAACTCAGGCTTGTACGTTCTCTAGGAAGATGCCTTACAGCCCGTCGTCGACGGCCTTCGGAATGCTATGCGCGCAGATTTCCGTGGTGTCTATACCCATGTCCACTCAAATGGTATGTTTCCCCGCACTCCTGGACAAAAGAGCCCCGGCGCTGATATCTTTTGGAAGGGGGCATGTTCCAATTCATGTCTCTTCGGAACCTCCTCGCCAAGTCAGATTTCACAGGTATCCCCACCTGGCGCGCTCTTCCCTCTGTCCTCGTCATGGATTCCGTGCCCGGGGATAGCGGTGTGCATCAAGCCATAACCAGCGCTGCGCTTCCGGTCCCAAACCCGGTTAAACGGGCCATCTTTATCCCCACCGCGGTGGTGGCTTGGTGGCTCATCTGGCTATTCAACGCCATGGGTGGCAATCCTCCTCTGTTCGAGGCTTCGCGCGAGGCTCTCAACGCACACGAGCTCCTTCCACACGTCACCACAGGATCTCAGACGGTCCGCTTGTACATGTACTCACCTCGAGACCGCATAACCCTCCCTGAGGATGTCGAAAGTCACGCTGAAGAGGCTCGGCGCAGAGGTCATCCGGTCCATATGGAGAAGTTCGAGCGCAGCTGGCATATCACGCATGCAAGGGAGTATCCGGATAGGTATTGGGAGGCATGTACGCGGGCGTGGAGTCAGGCTGCGAAGCTATAGGTTTGGCGTAGTATGTTTTATACACGAGTAGAATAATGATCGTATGCAGACATGGATATGATGTCCTCCTATGTTCTATTCTTGTAGAGACAAGGATCATTTGAATGTACCAGACACCAGCCCTCAATCCGACGAAAACGTCGCCAGACATCATTTGGACGGTACAAACGTATGAACCGCGTGGCTAGACTTGAGTCCGTCGGGATTTTCCGTGACGTCAACTTCGCCGCCGCTTGACAGGCTTCTCCCGGACCACCACCACCACTACCACCACACCTTGTGCTGCGCTTCCAGTATGACGGGTGCGCTACGCGCTTGATGAAGCCGCGCGGCCTACACGACTACGCATGTCTCTCTGATCCTCGTTCGTGGACCGGAACCCAATCCGTTCGGATGTCAACGGATGTCTGGAGTCTGGACCTGCTTCGGGACGAAGTACTTCCTCCTGCGAGGTCCGAGGTCGCGCAAGAAAGGAAGCGCCACACGGTACTCTCTCAGACTAAAGGATACAGCCTCGGGGTAAGCTTCTAGTAATCCGCATCTGTCGACGCGCGGTGTCATGCTAGCCTACGGGGCCTTTGGGAATCAGAAACCATGAGTACCTTGGCCGTGAATTGGCGCAGACATGCTGGCAAGGTGGATTAGATTCAGGCATCGCTCAATCTGCGCCCTTCAAGCTAAAATATATAAGCCCGGAAATGTTTTGCGAGGCTGCAGCAAGATCTCTTACGTCTGTTCTACGAACCTCCGTAACCAGCAATGTTCCGCAACAGTTCACGCCCGACTCGCGAACTCGCGAAGACGCCTCTCTTTCAGTTACACTTTGAACACCTTCCCTTGGAGAAGCGACTCGAGATTTCATTCAAGAGAGCTCAAGAAATCGGTCGCGCATACAGTAAGTACTAGATGTACGTCGATATCGTACTACTTTGCTAACTGTAACCCAGAGTTGACGGCAGAGGATGTGCTCCACGCCTCGCCTCAGTTCTGGTGGCTGCATACCGACCCAATGTGGGGAATGGACGGAGCAGCTGCTACCCTCATCACCCTCCAGTACAATTGCTGTGCCGGCATTCTTGCCGCGCACGCTGCAGACTCACACCCGAGCGTTCGCGCCACGTTAGACAAAGTTCTTAACTTCGATATCTTGTACGCTACGAGATGTTTCATATGTTTGACACAGTGCTGACCTCGTCCGTCCATATAGCGGTGTGTTCTGCCTGACTGAGATTGCGCATGGCCTCGACGCTATCAATATGGAGACAACGGCGACCCTGGATAGGTATGGGTGGGTGCTCAATACGCCTCATGAGGGAGCAGCGAAGTAAGTCATCTCAAACTACATTATTATCGCTGTCACTCATGTCGTATCTCAGGTACATGCCCTCCACAAGCCCAGTCACTGGTCTCCCATGCAGTGCGGTTGTCTTTGCGCGTGCCATCGTCGACGGCGAAGATCGCGGCGTCAAGCCGTTCTTGATTGATCTACATGACGGCAGGAATATGAGCAAGGGCGTCGTCTCAAGGTATGGCCATCGTATTCTTGTGAAACACCAGACTGATCACAGTCTTCGCAGGCTCTTACCGCAGAAGGGCGGCTCGCGGGCGCTGAATCATTCACTCACGTACTTCCGCCACGTCCGTCTCCCTTCGCATGCTCTTTTGGGACCAATCGAGATGCCGGGGAACAAGCGCCTTGCTTTCATGATGAACATCTACCGCGTCGCTGTTGGAACGATCGCTGTATCCGCCGTCGCGGACCCCACTCTCCAAATCTCTGCGTACGTCGCCGCGCGGTATAGCCAACGTAGGAAGGTGTATGACCACGCTGCTCCTGGAAAACAAGTCTCCATCATCGAGTTCCGCACGCAGAAGACTCCGATCGTGACAGCTCTCGCTCAGGCCTACGTTATGCGCGCTCTCTTGGACTACTCCATCAAGATCTTCTGCGACGAGGAAGAAGATCTACGCGTGCGCCACGCCGTCGCCACTATCGCAAAGGTAAACCCTTCGACCACCGCTGCTCAGGAGCTAGAACTCACGAAGCATAACGATAGGTCATCCTCGTCTCGCACGCTCAAGAAGCGTCTCTCGCCCTGAGTGACCGGTTGGGTGCCCAAGGGCTCTTCGAGGTGAACCAATTGAACGCGATGTTTGTGAGTAAACTCTCAGAAGCTTCTTTGCCGGGCTCTCAAGCGGAGTTATCAGAATGACCTCCGGGGAGTCGCGATTGGCGAAGGCGACACCTTGGTTCTCTCGATTCGTGGGTCTTGTCAACAACCATCGCCGTGCGCATATCTGACCCAAAGTTAGGCCTGGCTTCTGAGCTACTCTTAGACCGGTATGCGGTACCGGAGACGGACAACGCGAAGAGCATTCTGGCTCGGCACGAACTCGGCATCCGCGATGAACTCAGGGCAGCGTTGTGCACCATGGCCAACCATCGCGGGATCGACTTCGATCGCGAGGTTCTCCCCCGTTCTTTGGAGTTCGTTTCAGCGATCGGTCAGCGGATGGCCTACGACGCGGCCGTCGACGCCGGGGTCGATCAGTGCCTCATCGACTTGTTCGTAGCCGCGTGCTTGAAGAAGGATCCAGCCTTCTACGTCGAGAAGGCGGGGATTTCTCGCGGGCGACAACGCAAGTTGGAGGCGGATGCCGTTGACGCCGTCTACGATCGCCTCGAAGACTTCCTCGAACCCATGGACCTCGAGCCGTACATCACTGCGCCCATTATCTCTGAGCAGAAGTGGAACGAGTACGTCAGCGGCATACGGACCTTCGGTGATATGCCTGCTTGGGACGTGCCGAAGACGACGATGAGTACGCGCCCGTACATCGATCAGTCGCCATACATGCAGCTTACTGCTGCCGCCGCGAAGCTGTAGATTGTGATGTCGATATGTCCCGCCTATTTCGATATAAGTTTGCGTTCGTACTTGCCTGGACTGTATCGTATGGCCATGCCTTTGCGTAATAGAATGTCTCCATTAGTGGTTATGAACGACGGAAACGTAGCCCTCGTTTTGTCCCATACACGTGCCGATGTACAGTGATTCCTGAGCCACATATTGCCCAATCGAGACCCACAAGTTCGGGATTGTATGTCTCATACAGTCAACGGTCATCTCGGACAGACGCTGCAGAGCCCCGAGAGAAGAGCATAACATGTGTATGCAGAGGCAATGCAGAGGGCCCTACATCGGAATGGCCGATGATGCGCGTTGACTCCATTTGAGTAACGAGAGCATGGATTCCTGGGTTCGGGGCGACCGTTAGACTCTATGAGCTGCCCTGAAGGCCTGAAGGTTGAGTGGAAGGTTGAGGCACGTTGACATGTACATGGGTGTTGTGGCTGAAGTGCGCGGCCCCACGCGTCGGGAGGCCGCTGCAGCTGTGGCGAGTCAAAGCACAACTTCCACTTGCCCACGACTTACCCCCGCAAGCGCGCAGATGAACGTGGTATTGCGAAGAACCCCCAGCCCTTACTTTCGAGATGCTAGGACGCTAGACGCAAGGGGCGCTGGATGGGGGCTATTGCTAGTTTGTTGAGATTAATCTTCGCGACGAGCGCGTGATGCGGGCGGCATCCAGGTTCCCGATATCCGAGTCTCCTTGTGATCGCTTTGTTCTGTACAGTCATGTCCCCTCTTGTCGTCCTTATCACTGGTTGCTCCGCTGGTGGTATTGGTTTTGGCCTGTCGGTGCTCATTGTTGCGCTTACTTCTGGCTCTTGATCTGACCTTATCCTCAGTGCGGAGGAATTCGCTTCGAGAGGATGCATCGTATACGCGAGCGCGCGTTCTGTCGAGAAGATGACTGGCCTTCCCGAGTCTGTACACAAGATACGCATGGATGTCAATGACGGAGTCTCGGTGGCCGAAGCTGTGAAAACGGTGATTGACGAACAGAACCGGATCGATATCTTGGTGAACAACGCCGGAACAAGTCGTGTTGGTACGTGTTTTGATGTGCCTTACACTGCAAGCAACTAATGTCGTGAACTTTCTTAGGGCCTCTACTGGAGATCCCGCTCGAGCATGTTGAACAAGTCTTCCAGACCAACGTCTACTCGATCCTACGCGTCACGCAGGCCGTAGGGCCCCATATGATTGCTCGTCGCAGTGGCCTCGTAATCAACGTTGGTAGCGTTGCTGGTATTCTGTACGTTGCTATTTCGCGCTTCAGTGGCTAATTGAACTAACCCGAACTAGGCCGACGCCATGGTCTGGCACCTACACCGCATCGAAGCACGCTGTTCACGCAATCACGAATGTCCTCCAAATGGAACTCAAGCCGTTCAACGTCAAAGTCATGCTGCTCGCTCCGGGCGGCGTGGTGACTAACATTGCGGCAACCTCGACTGAGCGATTCTCCTTACGGGAAGACTCGCCGTACAAGGATTTCACAGACGCCATCATCGCTCGCGCAATGGCTAGTCATAAATTGCGCGGAGTTCTGACGGTGAAGGAGTTTTCGAGGAAGATCGTGCGCGCTGCGTTGAGGCGGAATCCGCCCTTCATGATAAGCATCGCCCCTCCAGCGGGACTCTTCAAGATTCTATCGTGGTTCCCGAATTTCGTCGTCCGTGCACTCCTTAGCTGGGGGATGGTGTATAGAAATAAGAGCAAGACCGCATAAATATCATTGCATGTATTCACACCTGTACCGGTTCTTACAACAGACATACTACTCCTCGCTAAATGCTTCTATGGGGCTGGACAAAAGATGTATCTACGAGGTGATATGGACGCATCAGCCCGAGGGAATGGGCGGAGAAAGGTGAAGTACGAGTCAAATGCGAGTGCGCTGTTAGCCTAGTACCTCGACCTTCTTCTTTTTCTTCTTGGTGGTCGTCTTCGCAAAGGTTCTCCAGCTGCCCACGCGTTGTTCTCGATTTGCTACGGGACAGTCAGATAGTGGGCTTGGAGGCATATCAGGCGACTACGAACCTTCCCAATTCGCCTCGTCTTCGGCCTTGCGCTTCCGGGAGTTCACCTCTTCTTCCTTCTTGCGAGCTTCCAACCCCTCGTTCGCAAGGTTCATCTTGACGGCTCTAGGGAGACAGACGATCAGATTATGCAGAGTCTGATGTTCAAACTGAGCGACTCACTTTCGTCGACGAACCTCCTCATCAATGAGCAGCTCCCTGGACTTGGTTCGCAACTGCTCTTTGAAAGGCGGCTTCAGGTCCATGAGCTTGGGGCTGTCAGCAGGTGTTGCCGGTGGTAGACCAAGATCCTTGAGCACGAGGTTACGAGCCTGTCGTATTGTCGCATCAAGCTCCTCGCGTTTGGCCGTGTCCCCGAGTTCGCTTTCCGCCTAACGGACAGTCAGATGAATACCAGAGACACTGGCACCGCCGCCGCGTACCTTTTTGAGAATGTCGAAGGCTTCTGGCGCGCGGGCGTGGGGGGTCTTGTCAGGATGGATGACTGTCAATCATACAACGTACCACGATCAGCGTGTGCTCTTCAGCATTGTTCATAGGATGTTGTAAGGGGGTAGGCGGTCTTGCCGCTGGTGCAGACGCGAATGCTCACAGAGGGAGAGCTGTCGGTATTTCTTTTTTACCATCTCCGGGGTTGCCGTCTCATCGAGATCGAGAATATCGTATGGGCTGGAATTCGCATAGTTCAGTTGGGGCAGCTGTGCTGATGAACATGACAGGAAACGCACTTGAGCTTGAAGGCCTTGAGGATGCGCTCGACTTCGACTTCGCGTTGGAAAGCGGACGCCTCGCGACTGAGAAGCTTTTCAAGCTCTGCATCTGTCGCTGTCGTAGTTGAAGCCCCGGCCATCTCGAGATTCACTGTCTGGCTGATGAATGTTACAAGCAAGCGACAACCGGTCGACTAGGCGCCGGCGCAGCTACTGAGCGCTTGTTGGACGCGATCACATGAGATTTCTCAACGCGTTCGCGGAATTGCACGTCTTCAACGCGGCCGGCTCGGGCGCAGGACCATGGTTTGGGCACTCAAACTACGGACATCGTGGCATTATATCTTCTGATTTTATTCTGCTCATGGTCCTTCTATCTTTTGACCGCAAGGTCAGGCGTTGTATGTACATCCATCATGAAAACCGTTTCCCGCCGGGTGAGACCTAGCGAGTGGCACAGTCGCTGAGGTATGCTGATGGCGACTGGCCAGCGAGCTCCCGGCTAGCGAGTCGAGTCGCGGCGTGATGGTGGGCTGGCCAGCGCTAGCCGCATGACTTGTGCGCGCTCGAGTCCAAGAATACGCTCCGGCCGAACAACATGACGTCGGAAACGCGATCACGTTGTTTGCCGTTGTTTGCATCTTCGCGTCCAAGACGCGACAGAGCGCGCTCGTCCGCCAATTACGCGCCTTGCTCCCGACCATCATCATCGCTCCACCCGCGTCCGCCCTCCCGCCCGCCCGCATCCGCCTGCCCGCATCCGCCTCCCTTCATGAG